TTAGTACCACCGTAATTCGCCCCAAAAGCCAGCCACGTTACACTTACTTTCATACTTTGAATGAGCTTATTCGCAAAGAAATTAAAATTATACCTCAAAAGTCTATATCGGTATCAAAAATTTGATTATTATGATTACCTAGAACATTTTTGTTTTAATATTTTTATGCAGACTTTTTAAGCTTAAACTGTTCAGTCATCTGAGCTGCTGACGGGGGCTGCTCACATAACAAAAACTATTTGAAAACTAACGTTCCACTCATTCCAATTGGTGTCTTCACTAGTTTTTTGGTATATTTATCGAAGTGGAAGTCATATTTTATCATCTTTAATATGCTAGTTGGGATTTATTGCCAATTGGCTGGTCAAATTGATATATAAATGAAAGAAAAAGGTTGCTAATAGTAAGAAAATGAAAGAAAAAGATTTTGGTTTTGGTTTTTCATAGCAAATTTGCAAACAAAGGATGAAGAAAATGTCAACGAAAACACGGGTGCGAACAGCTTTCAGCCCACAAGGTTGCTAATGATAAGAAAATGAAAGACAAAGATTTTGATTTTGTTTTTTCGTAGCAAACAAAACAAAATCAAAATCTTTTTCTTTAATTTTATTATCATTAGCAACCTTTTTCTTTTGTTAATATTTTAATTTCGCCAAAACCAGTTATAGCAACGAAAACATGTTTTCGATGTCGGTCCGAACATAGTATTATTCAGAATTGCTAATCTATGCTTTAGCTTCATGTTCTCAGTCTCCAATGTTGTGTACTCATCATCTTCAAATACAAGTCCTTCGCCACGTTTTGTATTTTCTATTTATGTACGCAAGTGGGCTATCAGACGCTCCTACAAACGCAAATAAAAATGTTATGAGGATAAGAGTTTGCACTATGGAATTCCAATGCTAACATTGTACAATAGATGTTTGGGGATTCCGGCTGATTTGGAAGACCATCCTTTGTCACGCCCAGAACTAGAGCTGCAAATATATCGATGTCAGTATCGATATATCGAGTTTTTTTTGTTTTTTTTCTGCAGACATCGATAGTTTTTGTTCGATATCGAGTGTGGCTTAGCCATTTTCTCATTACTTATTTTTGCGCCAAACAACATGCATGCTGCGAATACCGATTTATACTAAATCCAGCCCTTCGACATAAGCTACTTTTCCATACGAACAGAGATATGTACCTCATATACATATATAATAAAATTTTCTGTTGGTAAATGGTTCTATTCATTTTTTGAATGAGATGTTTTTCAGCTTTTCAGTGTAGAATTAAAAATTAACGATATATATCGATATATCGAGTTTTTGTCTCTTAAATATCGAGTACGGCGAATATCGATACTTTTGCAGCTCTACCCAGAACGCATTTACCTAGAGGAAAAACCGCAGGGATTGCAGTAGCTCTCCTTGCAATGATCGTTGATGAAGCTCTGCTTGTAATTTGTGGTCTGAAAAGAAAGAAATTTGTATTAATGAAATGTTAAACACATCAAATCAATAAATTTCAATAATTTGTTTACCATTTCACAAACTGAACTACCAAGAAATATAAACTCACCACGATGCGATACTCAAATAAAAATCAACAGTGCTGCATTTTCTTGGTAAACAACATTTTACCACAAGCGCTCAGAGCGATCTGATCCGCAATATTATTTTAAGAGAAGTAAGAGTTTAAAAGAGGTTTTACACTTGATTATCATATTATTTAATTAGTGCAAATTATTTTGTTTATTTTTAGTAGAATATAATTGCATTATCTCAGACTGTTTTTTATGTTTTCTAATATTCGTTCTTTAGGCAAGCGAAAGCAACCATGCGCTCAATTTCTTGTGGGGAAATTTGGTCCCCATAAAGGACTTTCACCACGAAACATTTACAAAAACAAAAATCTTTTCTACTGGTATACTGTGCTACAGAGTATTTGACTCGTATGTACGACAAGAGGTTAAT